AGGGTCCCATGCCCGTGGCAGGGTTGGAGCTGGAGGAGCTTTAAGGTCCCTCCCAACCCAAACCAGGCTGGGATTCTATGATTCTATGCAGTGCAGCACTGTCCTATCTCATGGAAGAAAAGGCAGCTGAGACAAGCCCCTTGTCTCCCATCCTCTCAAAACAAACATTCAGCAATTTAGTAGGAATAGGGAAGAGAGAGGAGATAACCTGTGATGGACTGCGCTTTCCTTGTGCTCCTGCTGTCCCCCTTTGTCCCCTCTGCCCTCCCCAATTATGTTCTGCATCTCCTTCTTCTCTCACATGGGGTTCCAAGCATTTTCTAAACTGCTCTTTTGAGCCTTAGGCATAAGGTCACAAACCTCATATTTACCTGTTGAATTGCTCTCCCTTTTGTCAGAACATAACCGTTTACTTTGGACTTTCTGGAGGATCTGTTTCAGGGAAATAACATCGTACAGATGTTATTGAGAACAACATACAAACATTAATTCCTTACATAATGCTAAATTCTGTGTGTAATGTTAAATGAGCTTTTAAGACAGGCTCTGGGACAAGAGGCTGACTGGTCCTTGCATAGTTACAGCACAGGGAGCCTGCCCCAGGAACACACCTCCAGGAGGGAAAGTCTCATGTCTTCTGTTTCTACCAAGCCCCTCAACAATCCCACATTCCTCAGAAATCCCCCCCACATTCCACCTTTGGATAGAAACGTTTCTTTTCTTATCTTCTCATCACACTGACATGGCAAAGGGCTCCATCACAACTCATCTCCTGGGTGGTCAGAGTTAATTGTCTATAATGCAACTCATTTTGGATTACTGCTGAGAGAACTATTATTTCTGTAAATAAGGGATTATCCCCATGTTCCTAATCCACAAGGCACCTTGGGAATGCCCTGGATAGAGAATGAGTAGGGATTTCAGTATGTGGCTCACCATTTATAGGTGCGACCGGCATCGTTTTAGAAGCAGAACCCTCATTTTGATCTCTAGAAAACCTGTGTAGTAACACTGGCTGCAATGGAGTTACTTATTTCCAACTCAAATTTCCTTAAATTAGGAAGTCAGGATCTTCAGCTTTCCAGGCTCATCCCTAGATTTCACGTGTTGAGCCATGCAGCACCACACACTCCATCGGATCATGCTGGGGCTTTGCACTTTAGGACAGCAAGCACATGGATGAATAGTAACTGGGAATAACACGAAGGGGATGGGAAGGGTACTGGGAGAGATACAACCAGTTACCTAAAGCTGGAGGTTAAAGATTGGCTCTAACAGTGACATCATCCCCTGAGATAGTTCTAACAACAACTTCCAAGGTTGGGAAAGCCCTTTAGCAGGAAAGTTGTGTGAAGTCCCACAGTATCCTTCTGCTGAGGACCAGCAGGTGTCAGCAGAAAACATAGGATCAAAGAACATCTTACTTGAGCACAGCAGACAAGGCAGATAATCACAAAGCCAGCGCAGGAGTAGAGCAGGATCTTCCCTCTGATCCCCCCAGAGCCTTCCTCATCCACATCAGGTTCCCACTCATCTGGTTTCTGACTAGTGCCAGAGAGCAAAGGGTCCTGCTGCCAGTGATCCCACCACAGAGAGGGAAAAGGGCATCCCATGGAGCCTCGTTGCTGGGCATGGAACTCGGGGCTGTTCCCTCTCCAAGGGGTGAGGTTCAATGTTTGGAGCAGCGCCTCGGCAACCCCCTGTCCAGGCGCCCACCTCGGGAGGCCCTGACGTGTCTGACTGCTCATGGCCTGGGTAAGCAGGTTGAACCCTGCCTGGCAGCTGGAGCCCACAGAGAGCTGGTGAATGGCGGCACTGTGTCTGGTTGGTGACCGGTCACCAGTGGTGTCCCTCAGCGCTTGCTGCTGGCGTCAGTGTTTCATGTCTTCATTGATGATCCGGGTGAGGGGATGGAGGGCACCTGCAGCAGATCTGCAGATGACACCAAGGAGGGTGGGAAGCTCTGCAGAGGGACCTGGGCAGGCTGGATCCACGGGCTGTGGATG